ATCAGAGGCTATTTTAAGTCCTTTATAGATTAATTGATCTTATACTAGTTAAATATTAGTCTAAATAGATTAGCTAGTTTCGGGCTTAAATGGATTAGATAAATAAATTAATTTAAAATTGATTTTAGTCTTGAGGATCAAATAGACCAGTTATTTCTTAAATTAGCTCTTTATTTTAATTAATATAAAATAAAGACTAAATAAGCTAGAACATCTTAATATAAAAAAGATTAATATATTATTTGTTATGGGTAGCAATATAGCATAAATATATCGTTTAGAAATCTAATTTTATATGCTTAATTAGATTTAACTTCAGGGACACAGACTTTAGGGTTTATATACAATAGTTTTCGATATGAATTTAATTAAATTGATTCGAAAAATTCGATATTCAATAGCTCAATAACAATATATATATAATATATAGCCTTAAATCAAGCTAATTCCCTTTTTAAATTAGTTTAAACTAGCTGGGCTTATAATCTCTTAAAGATTAGCTTTTATAATAAGAAGGAATAGTATTATTATAAGGATAATAAAAGATCTAATTAGTTTAAGCTATAGGGATAAATCGAATATATAGAATAAGAGTTGAATTGAAGTCAATTTAGAAGAGCTAGACTGAATTGAGATGAAATTACTTGTTTTTTCCTAGAATTCCTTTAAAGAATATTCTAGATTTATATAATTTATAATAAAATTCCAGTATATTTTATACTTATAAATAAGATCGATTTAAATTGTATCTTATAGAATCACTTTAGATAATAAAAAGAAAGTACAACCAATCAATTTAGCAAGGTTTCCTGTATACTTCCATCTAGTTTTATTTTATTCTATTCTATTATAAATCAATTTGATAAAAGATATTATTATATAACTATATAATAATATGATTTTATAATATAAAATCATATTATATGTATATTAGTCATTAATATATCCCTTATTTGATAAGATATTAGTAAGTGATTTAGTGGACTTATTATGAATCCTCACAATAGGTAGATAGATATTAGATAAGTTTTAATGAGTATTATATAATATAAGGTGGGAGAATTTGATGGTGGATTGTTGGGATGGGATTTGGGTGGATTTGAGTGGAGGAGAGGGTGAAGGGGGGAGTAGAGGGAAGTGGAGGGGGAGTGGGAGGTATTGGGGTGGCTTCTGTACTCCATGGTTTGAGTATGGTGGCAGGAGCTGAGGTATGCTGGAAAGGAGGAGATTTAAATGGGAAAGGAGGTGTAGTGAGATAGTAAGGCAATGAAGTAAAGAGGTAATAAAGTAGTGAGATAATGAGATAATGAGATAATGAGGTGGTGAGGTGGTGAGATAACTGATAGGATTTGAGCCTCTGTGTTTAATCTATTCAGTTGCATATTGCAGAGCTGGAAAGAGGATGACTGAAAGTGTGGATAAGGGTGAGATTAGTTTGGATGTAGAGATGTGAATGATGGGGATTTTAGGGGGTGAGAATCCTCTTGGTAGATAGGAGTTATGGTTTATGGACTGGGGAGGTTGGTTTGGTGAATTGGGGGGGGGGTGTTGTTAGTTGTTGGTTGGATTTTATTGGTAATTTGGAGGGTAAGTTACAAGAGAGAGAAGAAATCCGATTAATGAAGAGTGGTGTCGGTAATAAGACAAGCGAAAGGGGTAAAGATATGTTTATTTTGAAGCTAACGTAATGTGAATGCTGATCTTTTGTATCCGCGTTGTCTAAATCACTGCTATAGGACTAGAAGGGTATTGAGGAGAGGAGAGGACTTAAAAGAAATGCTGCTTTGACTAATCCTTTTGAGTTCGGGTGTATTAAGTGTGTTGATGGCGAAACAGAACGATGATTAGGTTGAGGTTGATGTTGAAGGTCAGATTGAGATCGAGGTTGAGGTTGAGTTTAAACTTAGATATGAATAGAATCATAGTAGAGAGGTGGAGAGTATTCAGTTCAATGAGGTATTGTCACGGACCAGTGACGAGGCTTGAGAAAGAGAGTCAAGCGAACATGGATAAGGATCTTGAAGGCAGAGGTGACGTGTAAAGAAGGATGCGTTTGGAAAACGAGATGAAATGATTTCGAAGTTTAGTTACTTTGAAAATCTGAAAGGTTTGGTCCAAAATGTCACTTTTCTAGATGTGCAACAAAAGGTTATGTTGGGTTTGTTTGCCACGTGAGTACACGTGGTTTGAGGTTGAGATGGGAAGGTGCGAAGATTGTGTTAGGTAGGGGAGGTAGGGGGGGGGGGGGGGGGGGGTGATGCTAGATGATCTTATGGGAAGATGGTGGGGAAATGAGAATGTGAAATGCTCAGGATTAAGGGAAGGGCACTGCAGAGACTGTGCGATGCGATGTACAGGATTTCTTCATGGTGCGGCTTTTCTACTACTTGTTTACGTTGAGCTTGGGGGCCCATGTACAGTGGAGGCTGTTGTGTTAAGGTGCGGGTGTCTGGTAAGTGATGGTTGGGAAGAAGCTCAGGATATGAAGAAAACATACTGGTTAAGAAGATTCGAAGACTATCTAAGTTTGAGGTGGGTAGAGGAGAAGAAATGCAAATGGTATGCAGTCAGAGCTATCTAGGTGGGTGAGTTTGACGTGGGTTGGGAAGAATTCTGAAATAGACTGACGAACATGATTCAGAGACAGTTCCTATTAAAATGTCTACAAGTTTCCCTCCATACATATATGCGATGTCGGTAATAGTACAGTCGCAAGATTCGAACTACCGGGAGAGAAACATGAACATCAATCACCACATGTAAGTTTACGCCTTATTAATCACTCATATGAACCTGCAAAATGGGTTATTGGTATGTAATTGCTTTAGATAAGTTCCTTTCCAGGAAGCTTTCATTCCCCTAAATATAGCAAATGCTGATATCTGCCTGGAAACAATCGCAAAATGATTGCCCATACCATGATCAGATATTCCTCGTTCCGTATCCCTTCCTCCCATCCTCCCGTTATCCTGCTAACCTTATCAATCCCATCATAGCTCCAACCCCCGGGATTATGCTTCTTTTTTGATAAACTTTTCGAGAAAGGAGACAGCAGAAATTCTGTGGGGACACTTTTCTCCACTGCCGTGGTGGTGATAAACACAACCTGGGGCATACTGAGGGTCAGAAAACTTTCCATGTGGCGGTCGAATATTGTCGCCTTCAAGCAAGGCAAGTAGCTCAACAAGGGTATATCTCTTGTTAGATGCGAGGGCACAGTTCAATGCTGTATTCTTACTGTTCAAATTTCCTGAAGCATCGATTTCTTGAATGATGAAAGCAACCAAATCAACCAAGAAGACACGGATCTTTGAATCTTGCGATAGTTGCTTGTGAAATCGGCGAATATGGACTATATTGATTGGTGAAGTATCCATTTTCAATAAATAGATGAATATTTCGAGGAAATCATCTTGAAATTCATGGAGAGAGTATCTGTCGGCAAAGAGAAGAATTTCCGTGAAGCAATTTATAAATTCACTCTGGTCATGTGGAGAGCATTCGTGCTCGTTCTCGGAATCTTCAATACTTTGTATGAATCTAGTGCCGCGATCGTAAGTCCATTCGACAAATACCCCCAAAGGGAGGTTACCGAAATCGGGCAGGATTGCTGCGGGAAATGCACTGATGTCCTTCAATGAACCCTTGCCAAATACCTTGTCAAATAAGGGTCTCGATCTTTGATGAATCAATTCTTTTCTGATCAAATAATATGCTTCGTCCTTTGTTTGAATTGCATAGTGACCCGATATAGGAAACTTTCCCGGAGCACTATGATTGCTGGCTGTTAGCTACATTCATTCTTAAAGTGAAAGGTCTACATACTCAAACTTCTGGAAGACAATAACGTCAGCAGGCGCCGCTAATGCTTTCTCTTGGGCGGCTTTCAAGGTTACTAGCTTATTTTCAAGGGATTGAGATGAGCTATTGTTATGTGAACCAAAACAATTGCTCATACCAGCGCCGCTTCGAGTCTTTGGGAATAAGCGTAGAGCTAGTCGCCTGAACCAGGATTGACGAGCGACAACAGGAACTGGAGTTGCCTTGCCATCAGTAATGCTACTGGCTGTGCCAAATGAGATCTTTTCGATATCAATGTTTAACATGCTTTCAGTGATGCTGTCTGGGCACAATGAACACTTTTTGTTAACCATGTTTGTGATGGCTTTGTTGATGCAGAATTGAATGTGTTTGTTTGTATTCAAAAGGAAGTTTCAGTCGAACGCTTGGGGAATTGTTGACCTTCTGGCAGGTAAGAAGTTGATTATGGGAATTGTAAAAAGACGAAGATATGTTGGGGAATCTGAAAGCTTTTAACCAGAAATTCAAGAGACAACCGACGCTAAGCTTTTCGATCGCTGTATGAATTCACTACTGTGTTTGGATCGGTTTGGGAATGAATATACACCGAATCGTTCCATTCTATCTATAAAGATGGTCAAGAATCGCGTGAAAACAAATATTGAATATATTCAATATATTCATGACACAATAAATCTCGGTTGCATTGACATTGAATGACATCATTCACTTTTCTAAAGATCAATCAGTACCTAGGTAGCTTCTGCGGGGTAAACACCAGCCACTCCACGGTGTCTTTATAGGGGATATGATAGGCCAGATGATTAGCATAGGCGAAGTAGGTGCAAATTTATTCTCTTTTAGATTGTATATACTGTGAGTAGAGTTGAAGAGTGCCGCTGTTTTGCGTTTTCCCAAATCAACTATAAGCAATTTGAAGGAGTTCACGTCTCTGAAGAGTAAATGCCTTGAAGTTCTTGACTCGACCAATTATCGGCAGGTGGAAGTGATTTTAGTGGTGGAATGATAAATTAAATCACAATTAGAGATTGAAATGTCTTGTATACTTGTTAGTACTCAAGATGTTGCCATTAGAGGTCAAATTTACGAGAACAATAACCCATAAAGAGTCATTGAATAAAACTCGTTCGTGGCGTTTGTGCTTTACTCAGCTAGAACTTACTCAATTCCTTGGAAAACTACACGAGCCTGAATTTCCGCAGTTTCACACCTCTTTCTATCAATGCTTGTGGAAGCATCCTAGGATCAGAATCCATCGTCTCGCCTGTCACAAGATGTTTGAAATAGGATTTGCTGATAGGCCATGGACCGTCATCTCTATTAACTTCTATCCATTCAGAGGGTAGAGGGGAGACACGTGGGTCATCGAGTGTTTTTTCGTTCGGTTTGACAAAGTGAGTTGAGTACCCTGAATCTTTCCTTCGGTATAGTTCTGTTTTCCATGGAGTTGGGAGAGGACCAAGCAGAGCTTCTCCGTCCATTAAACCATGAATGAAGTAGGATCCTACAACTAGAAACTCTCCAGCTGGTGTTGGGCGTAGAACTATTGGAAGTTCAGTTCCTAATAGTACACATACATAGTCACCTTGTACTGTCAGCTCTTTTGAAGAGGTTTGGAGCTGGTGAATCAAGCCTTACCTTCCTCAACTCCAAGTGGTCCTATTCCCATATAACCCTCTTCTGTTGTTATGAATGCCGTGGGACCATAATTCAATCCGTAAAAATAATTTAGTATCGCATCTTCATCTTTATTATCTTTATCAACAGCTTCTAAATAGCTTCGGCGGAGCTCCCAGGAATGTGGAATACGAAGGCCGGGATATCTTTCCTTAGTACGCCCTTGATAAATAGTTTGGAGGAATGCATCAATCAAAGAACCGCCCGCGATATAGTCTCTAGAGCTGAGACCCTCGGGCTCCCAGCCACGAATAGCTTGGAAAGTTTCCCTTGCATTTCCTGAAGATTTTGTTTTAACTGAAGTAATTCTTGTGCAACAAACGCCGGTGACTTCCAAGGTCATCGGCGCTTGATATTTTGTCAGTGAGGAAGAAGAACCCGCTGCATATCTTCCCAAGACAATACCGATCATAATACTTTTATCCTCGAAAGACTAATTCGGAACCCATGATAGTCCGCCTTCAAATCTTTGGATCAACTGACAGTGTTGCAACAAGTACAGACGCTTTGTGACAGTGACATGACTGAGCACCGCACTCTTATACACTTCTGCCACAGGAATAGAATAGTCGCACGTAATTCCTTCGGCTATCAAAGGCGACACTAAGCCCAGTACCCCATATATTTTATCACGGGGATCGCTGCAGTTGCGATGCTTAGCCCATCTCAGAAGCTCGGGTAACTCTCTCATAGAGTCAGGCAGAACTCCAGGAGCGTACGACAATAATTGGGAGCGTATGTCGCTTGGTGTCGTGACCTTTCTCCCAAGCACCAACATTGCTTTTCGAAGAGCAGTGAAAGGAATAGAGGTATTACCGCACTGTACTGATGATCTCTGATCGCCAAGTAAGACTTCTTGTAAGACCCAGACTCGACTGAACCAAGGCCTCCGGAAGAGAGCTCTTATGGATGACCATGTTTTGGTGTCATATGGCAGATGAAAGTTCGAGTGTCTCCATTCCATCAACTTGGTTCCAGGGGCGCATGCAACTAATCCTCCTCCTATGTACTCGACCTGTTTGGCGAAATGCTCAGTAGTAGATAAAGCACTTGTACTATCGTCAGCTTCTTCGCCAAGCCAGATGATAGTTCGATCCGCGAAGGAGAAGATGTTTCTCATGCGTCCTATTTCGTGGCTTCGCTCGGACACGTCACTTTGATTGATACAGATAGAGTCTATCCACAATATTCGCGGCTTATCCGTGTATCTTAATTGTCTAAGTGCAACAGCAAGAGAAGCCCCAATTTGTATCGTTGCCAGAGTTTCGCCCAACACATGTGCTGTGATTGGATTTTCGGCAGACCCCCAGACATATGAAAGAGCTTCATATTTAGGTTTGTTTTCCGGAAAAATTCCATGTTTCGGCAAATCATGAAGAGCACGATCAAGATTTGGATCTGGATGGTCCCACGAATTTAGATTTCCATTGCGGTGTTTGAAGATATATCGTCCATCGATTGTTTTCATAGCATACATATCGTCCGGAAGAGTTTTTTGCAGTTCTTCAAGTGAAAGTCTCTTGATTTCACTAGTCTCTCTCGGTGGAATGGCTAGGGGTACGTGGAAAATGTGCATGGAGATGCTGTCGTCTTGTGCGCCTGGCATTAGACTCAATAATCTGATCTCGTCATTTCCCCTTTCCAGCTGGGTGTATTTGTAAGGAGCCATTCTCATCTAATTTAAAAGAAGAATCTTGTTTACATGATCAAATGAGGCTGAAGATGAGGTCGAGTCGGGTTGTGCACAGAATAGTAACCAACAGCGCCCAAACGAGGGAATCAAAACTCAGAAAATTGCTTCAAAAAAGTGCCGTTGAGAGCTAGAGCATATTGATATGAAGTTCAAACAACCTTTTCTCATTTATGAGACGATGTCTAAACCAAAGTGACATAAGTTCCACTATTGAAGTTGTTGAATTCAGCTGACCAGCTGGAGGTGCTAGGTAGAAAACAAGAGCCACAATTGAGCCACACTGACTTCATTGATGTGGCGGGCTGCCTAAATTATGCAGGTTTGAGTGAACCAGTGGTAAATCAGGCATAGAAAATAATGTCTCACCTATTCCCCTTAATAACCTTCTTTCGCGAGTCTAAGGCAAAATCTGGAGAGAAAGTCCTTGTCAAGATCACACGTATTGAATAAAAAGCTTCTTGATCTCAAGAAGCAATTTAAAGACTCGTTCTTGGTTCGTCACAATTTGTAGACGGGATGTATTTTTTGACTCCAAATGCCTAGACAACGGCGAAACTAGATTGAATAACAGAATGTTCATATAGCATCGGAACTTTCAAAATCCTTCAAACATAAGTATTGGATGATATCTTCATGTCATGGTTCTTATTTCATTATAAAACTGCGAATTCGATTGGATTCGATTTCTCCAGAATATAAACATGAATGAAGAAAATAAGAATTTTCTGTAAAGCAATCAAGCAAAAGTCAGAAACAAGCGAGATACATTCAGAAAAATAGAGTTGTAAGATGCGGTATGTTTACAAGAAAACAGCATCTTCATGCTCGGTGCATATCTCCAGGTGCGTAGGCGTGATACAGGCGATTCGATATTTCAAAATTCATTCGAATCGCATTTTTTGTATTCAATTCAGCATTTGGAAAAGTGCCTACTCCAGCTAGATTTTAATCCAATGGTATTCGCATTTTATAGATAGGACGTCCTAACTAATTACTTTAACTATCAAAAATCTGTTTCCGGTAACAATCACTTCAGGGCTTCTGGATGTTCATTCTTTCTCTCCATAGTGGCTTCCTGTGCAGCAGGTAGTCTCTACTACGTATAGCAGACATGATCCCCACCAATCCAGCTACCGGCCATAGTTTCAATATCCACTCATACCAAGATAACTTGATCCCCGAGAACTTTGACATATCTACCTTTACTTTCTCGTAAACAGTAGGCAAAGATGTAGCCGAGTACTTTGACCGTAAATCCTCGTACCACTTTCTATCATACAGCTCCCAGAATTCTGTCTCCGTATAATAAGTGTGAGAGTACAGGACTTTGAAGCCTCCCAAATCCGCAAGTTTCTTCTCCAATTGTCGATTTTGCCGGAAGAACTTGTCTCTGTTCTTGGATCCTGGACCCCAGAGACCAATGTTGAGCATTGGCTTTGCATCGTTACCTGGACCCGGTAATGTAGTTGAGGGATGAAATGTTGGCGCTTGCATCTCTCGTAAAGGACATAGCCACAGAGGCCATATGTTAAACTCAGCTGCTGAGTAGTCAATGAATTCCTCCGCTGTAGAATATGGAAGTGAAAGGTCCTGTACGATATGCTCGAATGAGTGGCCAGTACCATGTAGAGCACGATATAGCATCCGGGTGTGCATAAAATCGTCTAGGAACCATCGAGACCATCGATTGAATGGAACAAACGGAAAGTATTGAAATGCTTGATGACCCATCCAGAAACCACCTCGGTCCCATCGGAATAAATATTCGCCCAATGGTATATAGTCAACGCAAAGCTTCTGAGATTCGCTATTCATTCGCTCTTGGATATGTAGATGAAACCAGGGATCTCTAGCATGACTGAATGATTGCTCTTTCATGGTAGCTGGCTTATCATCTGTTAATTTCCCAGTCATTACTACGCCAAAATCTTTGGAGAACAAGATTCCATCAACATAGTCATTGTTGGAATTTCCAATTTCTTTCTTAACCCCTTCAATTGTCTCATGAACCGAGGATTTTCGCTCATAAGTCAGCTGAACAAATTTCTTGGCAGGGATGAGCTGCAATTCGATCAATGTGGCTATTCCCAAAGTGCCCATTGCACCAGCAGCTCCTTTAAATAGATCCGCATTTTGGGAACGAGATGCGGTGACAACTTCTCCATTTGCAAGTATCATTTCGACGGAATTGATAGTTTGGTCAAAATATCCGTATTTGAATGAGCTGCTTTCCCCAGCAGATCCCGCATATCCCCCACCGACAGTGATACCAGGGAATTCCATCACTACTGGCGGTATGAGACCATGTTTTAAAGTCGCTTCGATAAGCCGATCCATGGGAACATTCGGCTCAACGAGTGCTGTACGAGCTAACGGGTCAATGTTCAACACGTTTTTGAGGCTGCTGATATCAACAAGGCGATTTTGATGATTTGGTCTTGTGCTATTTGTCGATCCATGATAGATTCTGAATGATTCTTTTCGAGCAAAGAAGGCACGAACTGAAGCCGCGACGGCCTTTACTGCTGCTTCATGGCTACCCATCGTGCACATAGTATATTTGTTGTAGTTGTTAGAAGTTCTTGTAACCAGCCACGAGATATTGAGAACGGGATTATCATACTAGGCAAGAAGTAGTGTGATAATAGCACCATCTGGGATATTTACTGGCGGCTACAGCATTTCGGAGCAAGTGAGAATTATTCAACTGATTGGCTTATCTATTGTGAAACACGTGTGGTAGCATTGTATGCAGTCATCATAAGCCACAGCTGGGTATATGAAGATACTTTACCGCTTTTGTAATCGCTTGCATTCGTACTAACCTCCCCCTTTTCTTGAACAAAGCCTCCACTACAAATCCGCACCACAACACCCCACCACTAATTATCGCACAGAATATCGTAATGAAGAACGTTTGCTGCTATTTTATCATTCTTGGGAGTAAGGTTCCGGTTTGAGTTTTGATCAATTGCGAATTTTTAACGATTCAGGATGCTTCTAAGTGGTAGGGTGCGTGTGTAGTAAGCTTAATTTCCATACTGTCGGTAGCGAAGAAGACGCCAATGAAAAACGTGAAAGGGCCTCAGTGAAGATTTGTCACGGTGCCCTTGGGCCAATACCAGAGCCTGTGCATACATGGCTAGGGTGCCTATCCAGAATATATAAAAGCTACACACCACACCTAAGCGGTGTTTTTGTCAGCAGACGACTGGGGACTTGAATAATTTATTGGTAACTATCAAGTAGGGATTTTTGAGGTTTGAGATATAACTGGATCTAGATGCGCTGAGGTTATAATAACTAGCGCACTTATGCAGAATTTTGGCACCACTAGGGAGTACTAAACAACATATCACCCTATTTGTGCCATGATTTCGACTCTCAGGACATGAATCATACAACTGGATAGTCTTTTCCACGCCGCAATTTTCTAATTCTGATTCTTGAGGTCTACTGTAACCATCGGGTTACAACGACAACCGAGAGCATGTTTCAGCTCCCGAGAATATGAGTATAGAAGGGCTTTGTACAAGATTAGTGAAGTGGATCTCAATGCTTTGCTGACATTAGTGCCTCGTTACTTCTTTTTCTACACTATTATATTGCCGTGTTGAGATCTAGCTTGACGTTCTCCGATAACTGTTACCGAGAATAATGCTTTCCGAAGGACTGTTCAATACAACGGTCTGTCCATCCCAAACTCTCGTCTGCGGCTGGGTATCGAGCCCTAATACCCGAGGGACGATCAATATTATTTGGAGCTCCCTGAGCACTATCTGGCTGTGTACATGGACCGCTTTGTGTTTGAACATACCGGAACAGCAAAGCTCACGAGGCTGGCGCATGATGTTATACAAATTCCGATGGCAGATGTTCGCCGTCTTCTTTCCGGAGGTTCTCGTTGCTCTAGCAGCCGAACAATGGATATCTGCAAAGCAATCTGTCCGCACATTTAGGGAGTTAGGTCATAATGATTGGACGATCAGACACGGATTCTTCGCTGATATGGGTGGGATAATCGTAGCACCCAAAGACTCAGACCACTTTGCAATCGATAGCTATCAACTGGCACACTTGATCAGAAACAATCACATATCGCTTCCTCCGATTGACATCAACGATATTCGAGCTGTGAATAAAGCTGATGGGCTCGCAAGAGCAGTAACTATGGCTCAGATGGCATGGTTCTGTATGGCATGTCTCGGTCGGAGCATAGAAGGACTCAACATTACCCCAGTGGAGCTCGAAACCTTAGCTTTTATTCTTTGTACCACGCACACATTCTTCTTCTGGTGGAACAAACCGCTCGATCCAGCCAGACCTTTGATTTTGTCTTTAAATGAGACTACCGAAGAACTCTGCATGCCAGGCCACGATCCGGAAAGCTTCGAGCGAACGCCGCTAGATTTTGTAAGGCCAGCACCAGACTCGAAAAGTCTTATTGCTCCGTTTTGGTTTGGGCTCAAGGCTACTTTCAATGTGCAGCAATACTTACGACCGATTAAGCGTCCAATAACACCAACAATAGCACGTAAGACAATTTCCAATAGCACGATTCACCCAGCTGAGGGAATCGGGTGGATTCTCACACTGTATTTGATATTTTTCCAGGCTATGTTCTATGGGCTTCACATCGGTGTTGCATGGAAGATTCCTTTCCCAACTCATCTAGAATTCTCGATCTACGAGCTCGCAAATATTGTGGATTTCGGGTTAATCGTCATGTTTATTCTGGCTTTACCGCTTGGGGCGCACTTTGCACCTTTCATTGGAAGAGTAGTTTTCAAGAAAGAGGCCTCAACTGTTTTAGAGGTAGCTGCTATGTTGCCACCTTGGGGAAAGCTACTTGTCCATGGACCATTTGTCATTGGGTATATCATAGCAAGAGTCTTGGTCTTAGGAGAGAGTGTTGTCGCTTTGAGGGCAATGCCTGATATCATATTCCAAGACCTCGATTGGTCGAACTTTTTACCTCACATTTAGAAGATTAGAGCTAGAAACTTCATCATTGGGATAGTTGAGAGCTTACATTCAAGAGATGGGTTCAAAGGTTCGGAGAGCTTTGATAGTATTTATCTAATTGTAATATATATGTTGTAAAATTCTTGAGCCCGCGGAAAAATTATAGTTCCGAGCTTTTGTGGATTCTTGTATGGCTACCAGTGGGTGCATGGATTGACGGGACAGGCGAGTAAAACGCTTCCTGGATAAGAGGAAGACTTGGAGGGAGAAGGAGAAAGAAGAATGAAAGGAATGACTTGGGTATAAGACAAGCTTTGAAACAATGTAGGCAACGCACACTCCTAATAGTGTAAAGCTATGCTTGTTATTCGTCGGTTAATCATCTGCACTGAATCCAAATAATTGGAAGATCCATATCCCAAAGTAAATTGACCATCTTGGATATTCTGAGCATGCAAGATGAATGAAATCAGCATGAGCTGTATGTTACAATGGAGGTTGGATCTCCCACCCGGATTGGAAGAATGCTGCTTGAAAATGCGAATCTAGATAGCTTATTCTCAGTAGTTTATCAGTCGTGCATCAATCTAAATCTGCAAATATTTCGAATGAGCTATAGCATTATAGATTGAACCTTTTTTAAAAATGAAATCATTTACCTTGGATGTCCTAGCTAGATTAGCTGCAGAAGCTTCAATCGTCTTGACTTCTTGATCATTGTACATTAACCTGCTCAAATGTCAATAAATATAGATAAGCAGCTTTGCTGAGCCGATTAGTTCAAGTTAGTTCAAAACTATACATTAAGATGACATGCCGGTCGACAGCGCTTTTTTTGCGGGTGGTTTATAAGCCCAAACATCCAAGGAACGATGAACATTATCTCTTGCCTCACATTAATACTTGAAAGGGGCAAACATAGCTTGGTAATCCTTGGGTTTGATCGAAGATGTAATAACGTAGATATCAAATAGATATCAATGGATTTCAGTATACTATTATCAACCTATATTCCAACCTTTGTACGGTTCAATAAAAGTCATCAGAACTTCGAATATTGAAATTTTGGAAAAAGCCCAAGGTGGCAAGATCTTTGGATTTATTGACCTAGATTCATCCTCCAAAGCCATTTACTCCTTGGCTAGCTCACTCATCAAATATACATTAGCTGCAACCTTTTTAGCTTGACGTGTACCGTCTATGTTACTTTTACAAAGCAGCTTTACCTCTGACTTCCTGCGCGATGGATGGAAAGATGAGCATTGCTCTTATATCAAAAATTGCCGTCTCACTGTTAGTACTAAGTGAGTGTTTGTTTCGCAACAGAATATCATACAAATAGGCAACGATAGAATCCAAGAACAATGAAGCTTGACAACATGAAGCTTTGAAAATGTGCGATAAGTATGGGCGGTAACAAAGAATACCAAAAGCAATTCTTTTGTTTTTCAACTTTATAATTCCTTACGCCAAAGTCTATCTCGCGATCGTCTTCTCAAATGAGAATATCACCACCTTCAGGACCATTTTGAGCTCTATCAATTCTGTCTTGTGTTGTCTTAAATAACTTAGGAAGAGACATAGGAACACGAACTTCTTCAAAGGACTTTCCCGTTCTCAACATCTCTGCCAATCCCTTTGCCGCAAGCCAAATGACAGGCATACCATGGCCATTAAATCCTGCGATTATGAATTGGTCAGACTTTTGTGGGACGAGACCAATATGAGGGTTTGAATCGAAGGAGTATCCCATTACTATATGACAGGTCAGCTTCCTTGAGCTTAGAAAAGGTCGTTGGGGGAGATAATTTACCACCAGTCCAGATACTCTCAATTTTGGCATCCGATTTTTCCCATCCACAAAAGGTGCGCTGCATGAAATTCTCGTAGTACCTCTCTTTCATGGTTGGTTCAATTAACTTGCCGTCGTCTACATTGTTATACCATTGATCCTTATGGGAACGAAATGTTGCTGAAGCTCCACCCACAATGATACTTCCATCGGATCTAGGAATAAGGTAATCGAGAATACCATCCTCAGTACGAACAATATAGGAGTAACCGATAGGAGGTGAAGTAGCATCTTTGGAAACTGTAATATGGCAGCACATACCTTTGCATGGAATGATGTTCTTGGCATATTCGGGGAGGAGACCAGAAACATAGGCATTGTTGGCGTGGACGACCTTCCGGGCTCGAAGAATTCCGCGAGAAGTTTCGACCAAGTGATACCCATGAGCTGATTGTTTGATCGAAATGACAGGAGTGTTGGTTTGAAGGTTGACAGAGCCGGTAGCTAAGGCAGAAGCGAGGAGAGAGGTGATAAGCTTGTATGGAGACAAAGTAGCAGCAGTGTAAGTCGAACATGCTTTCGCGCCTTTAACACCTAAAATCTGTGATCAATTAGCAGAGCAATGTTTCCAACACGGCCAAAATTAAACTTACAGTCTCGGCATCTTTACCAATGGTAAATTGAACATCTTCCATGTACGATAATTCCGGGTTCAGGAGCAACCGATCATAGACATCCTTAGCCTCATCGGCAGCATTTTGATTGTTCCATACATCACATGTTCTGGTCAAGGTGAAATCACAGTCAATCTCCTCGCGTAAGATGAGCTCTTTCAATGCTTGAACATGTGCAATCTCAAATTCTGCAATCTCGGCGCCAGATCTCACACCAGACCTATTGACATATTTTGGGATGTGACCGTAAAGATCTGGACGGAGATGCCCACCTAGAAATACTTAGTATGCTACTGCTAAACGATAATGATGTTTGGATTTACCATTTCTTCCAGTAGCACCAGAACAGACAGATCTTGCATCAAGAATCATGACAGATAACTTGGGGCAATTGGGCGTCATGTCATTTTTGACAAGATTATATGCAGTGGCTACTCCGGCATAGCCTGCACCAATAATAACGACATCGATGATGTCACTAACTGGTAGAATATCAGTACTTCTATGATCATGAAGATAATGCTTTTCAGAATGCCAGAAAGGCTTCGTCGAATCCTTTGCAGAAGTTGGGAAATTGTGGGAAGTTCGTTGATTCGCCATAACGACGTCCTTTGAAGGTCAGCTGCAGATTGTCCGGGGTGTATGGCGTTCTGACAGAAACCAGATCCTTCAAAAGTGTGTATGAAGATATGAAAATAGTTGACGAGTTCTAACTTCGGAAGTACTGTCAGTAGAGAAACTGTACAGGATAAGAAGATCCCTGAGATATTAGTACGAAACAGTTCCGGGTGAAGTGAGATAATAAGTAGCAGTAGGTATCTAGAAGATTCAACCAATTCGAGAAAAGAAAGTAGATATCCGGCTCTGAAAAAGCTCACAGGGTGCTCAATGCACGATATTAAAAGCTTTTTTTTCTTAAATAGAAAATTGTGACAGCAGTGAATGATTGAAGAGACGGTATCTCCGCGACGCCGAGTTGCTGAGAGACTTTGTCCATCAAAACAACACAGACTTGATACCATCGTCTTCTGTTTGTATCTAACCCTTATATAGGAACAAGACAACAGGACGAAGCAAGATCCGAAGCAATACCAAAATAACGGTACTACCATGTCTCGGTCGCAATTCTGGTATAGATAGCTGTATCATTGGATAGAACAAACGACAAACACATGACTATTCTGTTTGGTAGATTTCTTTTTTAGAAAATTGGTTCTAATAGCGGTGACGATTGATGACTTCATGGTCGTCAACAAGTATGTGCTGTGGTCTCTAACTAACTTGTGGCAATTCACATTCACGATTTTTGGTAATGAAGTAACGATTTCAGGGGTAAATCCACTAACCCAATTTGGTGTTAGCGTACATCACAACCTACAAACAAATTCTCAAGAACCATCAGACTCTTGTGTAATCAGAGTACACAGATGGATAAGAATTGATTCTGTGGACCTTTGTGATCGTCAAGATGTGTTACACAATATGATGTTAAGCCTCTACTTGTCGTCGTTTCTTGTTATACTTTCCAGATTCAGACCCTGCAATGTTTGTTGCTTCGGATGTAAGATTCTGTCATGAAATCCCTCCAGACGAGAATACTATCGCTCAACAATACGACCGTGATGTGCAGTTGGTATCAGACGCGTGAAAGGAAAAAAGGTCACAAGAACTAACTCACGATACACAAAATGATTTGAGCCTGTAGGTGCGGAGATAAGATACGGTTATCCAAGACATGTCAAATTCAAGTCGCTCTTTCCCAGTGGGAAGATTCGGAAAGATACATAGGCAAAAACAGCAGGTACAACTTCTTATCAGAATTCTCTTACCTTCCACTTCCTCGTTGTAAGAAGAAGAATCATGAAATTCTTCCATCTCACCGATTCTCTCGATTTGCATTGAAAACGTGTCCACTGTCTACTGTCCAGCCAAAAGTTCATGTTTGGATGATTGTTCAATCAAACGCTCAAGCACTACCATTCATCAACATGTCTTCAAACGACACTGCAACGAATCGGCAAATCAATACTCCCAGCGATGAACCCTTAATCCACCCAGTTAATGGAGCATCGCCGGAGCCTCAAGATAGTGAACCGAAAGAGTTTGCTGAAGTCAAGGAATTGAGGTAACGATAAATAAGTATCCGGTTTCCACAAACATCGGGCTGATCTCGTTTCGCAGACGAGGCTTAGCTCAGAGGCATATTCAAATGATTGCTTTGGCTGGAACAATTGGGACAGTAAGACTCATAACACGCTGTAGCTGCACCTAGGGAATACTGATTCTCTAGGGTCTTTTCTTAGGTTCTGGGAAAGCAATTGCCAGAGCAGGTCCACTGGGAGCATTGTAAGTTTCTATTGAACAGATAATGTACGGCGCTTACTAGCCCAACAGACTCGGATATACTCTTGTGGGGATACTTGTATCTGGCGTGGTTCTTTCTATAGCTGAACTTAGGTACGTCTCCGTCTAGGGTCTCAAATCCAAAGAATTCTTGCTGATATTGGCCATCAAAGTGCTCTTGTTCCTTTAAGCGGAGGTATCATACGTCATGC